CCTAAACCCCTAATTTTGGGAAACTGATTGCCCCTTGGGGTCAAGAGCCGCTCCTGGCTCGCCGCCTCGAGCCGCCGGAAGATGCCCGGCTCGCGCTTCTCGGCGCTCGCCTGCGGGAAGACAGGGGGTTTAAGGGTTTAGAGTTTTAGGGTGTTAGGGTTTAGGGTTTTAGGGGTTAAGGGTTTAGGGGTTTAGGGTTTAAGGGTTAGGGTTTTAGGGTTTTAGGGGTTTAGGGCTTTAGGTTTAGGGTTTAGGGTTTTAGGGTTTAGGGGTGTTGGGGTTTTAGAATGTTAGGGTTTAGGGTGGTTTGGAGTTTAGAGTTTAGGGTTCAGGGCGGAGGACGCTTCAGGGCGGGACGTAGGGGAGACGCAGTCGGAGGCTTGGGGCTTGGTTTAAGGAAGGTTTAGGGTTTAAGGAAGGGTTTAGGGTTTCAGGAAGGTTTAGGGTTTAAGGAAGGTTTAGGGTTTAAGGAAGGTTTAGGGCTTGAGGAAGGTTTAGGTTTTAGGGCTAGGGCGCAAGGTGTAGGGGTTGTTGGGAACTACGTAAAATGGGGTATACGGTATAGGGACTATGAAGAATATGAAGAACATATAAAATTTCTATAAAATGTATAGAAACTAGCACAGGGATCAATACCTGTGCTCACTAACTACCGGCAGGGTCCCGAGATTTGACGGGATTTGAGGGTTTGACTGCGTAGAGGGTTGTAGGATTTCAAGCCCAAAAACTGTTGGGTTTAGAGTCTAGAGTTGGGTTGGCTTGTTGAAGAGTCTTTTGTGTCTAGCAAGTCACGCGTTTACCATGCGTTGATGTAAGCCTCTGGCTTCGAACCCAAACCCTAAAACGCGATTGGCCACAGCTTCTTAGGGTTCGGGGTTCAGGGGGCAGCCGCATAACCAAAGTGAGCAGCATCATGAGACATGAGAAACATTAGCGGTAGCAATGGCTTTGGCGATCGTGTCGTCTGCAAAAGTTTACGCTGCTCCTTTGATTTGGTACTTGAAGGTTCATGGGCAGCTACTATTGTGACTTTAATAAGATGTTCAATCATCGTAACCTCATCTATCGGACCCATATTCAGCTACCCGTGAACCCGCAAAATTTCTCGCCACCTGCGCTGACAGCAGCAGGGCAACCAGTAGGCACCCTGCGACGGAGCATGGAAGCATGGGAGCCAAGCAGGTGGGGTCTGTTGAGTAGGATCTTAAGGTTTAGGTTATGTGGTTCCGGGTCTAGGGTTTTGTAATCCCCGAAACCTCCACACCCTTCTATTTGTAAAGTTTTTCGTGATAAGGCCACTGCATTTGGGGACAATCTCTACTCAGGGGGTGGGCGGGCTTTTTCTTGTGGGAAGGCGAGTAGCAATTATGGAAACACGTGTTTGAGGGTTTACAAATCCTTCTTATGGAGGCTACCGAAAACAGGGCAATTAAAGAGATTGGATACACTTGCTAAATGAAGAAGGTACCAGTTTCCTTGAAGGGACGGTGTCAGATCCCACGCCAAACTTGGAGCCAACCCCGACTTGCCGGGAGGGGAGGTGTTGCCGCGTTGCTTTTTTAGCTTAAATTCGTTTACCATGAAATTGATACAGTAAATGACGGGATTTCCTTTAAATGGTAAGCTAAGTGAAGTACCTTTACAGCTGCCCCTGCAGCATGGACACCCTGAAAAATTGGGAATGTGCAGCACTGCCATCCCCTGATAATCTCCACATACTGACGACCTAGTTTCCAAAGCGTTGGGGCCGTCACCAAACGTCAAACTTTGCATAAAGCATTCTCTTCTATTTCACAAACACGAGCAAGATGTGGGAAATAAGCAGGAAGTAGCCATGAAGCTTGGAACAAGAAATCAGGGCAACATGCGCTTCGTCTTGAAGTACGTGCACTTGTCCACTGCTATGGTGGTGATAAAAATTCTCCCTGTTTGCTTGCCTTTTGATTGTAATTTCTCCATGCTTGCGCCTGATCTCTGTCTTTTGCCTGCAAAGCCCCTCCTAGGTGCCCAGATTGTGTACTAATTACAAAGGGTCCCATAGCAGCGTGAAGATGTGCCAGCACTTGTGGAGAATGCCAACTGTAACAGGAAGAAGGAGCAAGCGACAGCTGAACATCAGCCACTGCCAGCTCTTAGAGGAAACATAGTACGCGAAGCATGCTCAATGCCTGCCGCGTTTGGGGTTGTGGGTTCTGACAGCTGTCCACTCTAGACTGATTACCAGGGTTTAGATTTTTTATGCTGAGGAATCCGACCTTCATGCATGAAGAACACCAATGTTGCATTACTCCCACCAGCCTGAGCCAAACTGCATTGCTCAAGAGGAACTCCGCGGAGCCTGTTGCCAGAGTCGGAGGGTGGAAGATTTCTAGTCTGCTTGTTACGGCCGCTACCAAGAAACTATGTCGGTATAGTACCAGACCGAAGTGTTATCTGTAATTAAGAATGATTAAGAGAACACATGAGCTGGCGTGAAAATTACTTGT